GTGGATTTTTTGTGAAGGAGTTAAGATGCACATGATTGTAATGAAATATGCATTTCCTGTGGAATTAAGGAGTGGGATTGTAGTGGAATATGCATAATCTATGGAATATGCACATGATTGTAGTGGAATATGCACATGACTCGTACTTTGTGTTGGGTTGGGAACAGTAAAAGAGAACATTGTTTTTACATTGTGAATTGTGAAAAATAGTTATTTTGGTGCAGTTTGTCTTCTCGATCATGCGAGTGCATCACTGCTATGTACTTTGTGTGAATACTAAGCTGAAGCATGTGGATATCGTTGACAGCTCATCGGCTAGAGTACCTAATTTTGATAAATACGGGGAAATGCCTCAAACCATGGTACTAAGTACTATTATGTAACTAGTACTAAATACTACTAGTATTAAGTAACTAGTACTATAAAGTGCACTGTCAAAATATTATTTAAACAACAAATAAATTTTATGAGGCTAAACAAAATTTGTGCAGATAAATATTTTTGTGAAGTACATGGATTCTATAAATATGAAAAACAAAGGTGAGAAAGTCAGAAGGTGACAGAACAGGAGAAGGGAGCACCAACCAATGAGTGAATTCATAGTGATATTTGCAGTTGATATCAGTTTGTTATAACATTACAGTTTTGGAATGACATATTTGCATTTTAAAATTAAAGATTGCTTTATGCTTGATTTTGGTGTGTGAAACTTGATATTGAATACAATTTGTTTTAATGAATGTTTGAGGGTTACATACATTTTTATCATTTGATTGCTTCTTGAAGTTCAATGAAATGCATAAAATACAACAGTTCCAAATAGTCATTATTTTTACATGGGATACTCTGTTGCCCGTGTAAAATATAACACATCGCATACGCAGACACACATTTTGTAGCACATAGAATTAAAAATAATTAGTAATGCAACAAATGTAAACCTAAGGTGCACTTCAAAATATGCAAGTGTGCAAATTAAGTTATAATTACATAATCAATAAAGGTCATGAAGTTTTTTAGTCAACGATCGGTGAGATGTGTGACTGTGTATGTTTATTGTTACAAAAAATATTGTATGTGTATTTACTCATAAATGTATTTTAATATGCATATAAATTGTGTGTACAATGCAGTAAAGCACGACAAAATATAACAAATAGCATACAAAGATGCACATTTTATAGCACATACAATTCAAAATAATTAGTAATGCAACAGATGTAAACCTAAGGTGCACTTCAAAATATGTACGTGTGCAAATTAAGTTATAAATACATAGTCAATAAAACTCATGGTAAAAAAATAAATAAATGGTGAGATGTATGAATGTATGCATTTTGTGTTACAAAAATAATTGATATGTGTGTTTACGGATAAGAACAATTATGAGAAAATACCAAAGTATGGAGAAACAAATTAAATCTAATACAATCAGTAGTGACTAATGTACAACTACAGGGTGCACATTAATGTATTTAAATATGCATATAAATTATGTGTACAATGCAGTAAAGACCTGACCAGGATGCACACTTATACAACATAAAACAATATTCATGAACAAAATTTATTAACAGTGTAAATCCACCGCGGTAAAAAACGAAAAAAATACAGTAATGACTAACAACCATGATCTTAAACAATCATATATTTTCAAGGGACAATTCCAGCTATATATATCATGATGGCCCATCTCATTGCACGAACGACAAAGTCTCTTCGGACGTTTAGACTGTTGAATATAAACTTCTTTGGAAGACTTGATCCTCGTGCATGCAAAACAAAGAACATAGACAAAAAAAATGAATTACGTACGCAGATAATGAAGGTGACGGTAGCAACTGTTAATTATAATATTCAATTAAATTTTAAATAAATAACGCACAAAAATATGCAACTCTTAGGTAGATTGTATTGTATTCAAACAGAGCCCTGTGAACGCAGATTATTTTGTATTTTACCAATGTATTAGGGAGATTTTTGTATTCAAACAAAGTTCATAGAAGCATACCTGATTCCGATTCCATCATAAAATGTTTAAACATTTTTTTGTATTAAAAACAGATAACAATAAACTTCTTTGTATTCAACTGCACCATGAATAGAATGTGTCTGCATGATACATACGAAGTTTGACCAACAGAAAAATATGAACTAAAATTAAACTATGCTCGAAAGCTAGGGATGTAAACATACTCCAGTGAGTCCTTGTGCATACAAAACGAAGGACATAAACAACAAACAAGAATTTGGCAGATAAGCAAGGTGACAATAACAATCGTTATTTGTTGGCTTCAATCAAATTTTTAAAAACTGCCGCACACAATTCTTAGGAAGATTGTTTAATATTGAAACAGAGGTAACGAATACACAATTTTTTTTTTGTATTGAAACGATGCTTTAGGGAGATTTTTTGTATTCAAACAAAGTACATAGGCATACCTGAATCAGATTACATGGCTTTGAAGTTCGAACAACTGGAGAGAAGCAAAACGGAAGCGCAGGAATGAGTCTCGCACGACAAGCTCTTGATCGCAGGTATGGAAATAGAGATATTAACGGAAAGCACGTTGGTAAACTGTACGTGATTCTCTTTCCATGTTTAGAGATCAATGAAATGTCCAATACACCCTCAAGTCACTTACGTTCTTGGGCTTTGAATTAAAACAGCCGCACCGAAATCATGCTTAGATGGAGGGCTAGGATTATTTTGTATTTTGTAAATTAAGTTGAGTTTGTATATGATCCCAACTCTATATATATATATATATATATATATATATATATATATATATATATATATATATATATATATATATATATATTACTTAATATGTGTCCCGTGCATCGCACAGGTGAGAATCTAGTATATATATAAAAGATGAACTTTTTAAGAGCATACAAAGCGTCACATAATTCTGCCATGTCATTATATATAACAACTATATACTTATTTTTATACCTTTTGTTTTTATTAGATTCTATTTTTGATTGCATATTGATATGGAAACAAAAATCCTTATAAATACACCTTAATTAATTTGGTAAGCTTCAAATAAGTAAAATAATTTTTGGTTATCAAAGTGAAATTCTAATAACGTTTATTGATATGGAAACTAATTTATATTAGTTTACTACACCGAATTAAATAGAAACAAATATGCAAATTAGTTTACTTATTAATTTGACACCTATTAATAAATTAGTAAGCTTCAAATAAGTAAATAATTAAAAAAGAAATTAAAAATTATAACCAACATAAAAGTATACGATAGTATATATTTTCACAAGTAAATATGTTTAGCTTAGCCAAATAAGTAAAAAAAATTGGTTGTTTCTTTATTTTACAGCTAAAATTCAAATATGTCTTCACTTTTGAAATAGATTCTTAATCCAAATTAGAAAATCTTTATAGGTTTACGAATTCCTACTTTTATTTTAATAGAATGTTTTTAATTGGATTGATTTCAGTTCCAGATTAAATCAGATCAGATCAAACTTTAATAATTATAACAATAAGTCACATAAAAAACAGACATCTAATAGACCATATTAATTCATACCAAATCAAACCCGAAATTTTAATTCAATTAAAAACGTTCTTATTGATGAGTAAACTTTAAGATCTAACAATTAAGAAATATATACTTCTTTTATTATTGGGTTCATAACAATTATGTTTACTTGACATGCTTATGTAGAAGACCAATTTAACTTCTTTTTTCATATATATTTTTCTTTGTTTCACGAATGCAATATATTTCACATATATTTTTCATGATTCAGAAGATTCCACCTATTTAACTAGGATTCAATCAATTTCAGCAAAATAAGTTAATTCTATTTACTTTAGTATTATCAAACAGACTCTATATTAGACTAAGTTTATTTTTCTTTCAAATTAAATAAGATGTACGGGCTTGAAAGCTAGTAATTAGCTAAATTACATAAGATACACGGACTTGAAAGCTAGTAATTAATAAGCCAAACTGTAAAAGAAAATAAACAACCTATTACTACATTAACGCTGAAAAAATCAGCATGTTACTATATTACCGCGGAATAAATCAGCTTATTACAATACTAAGGCAAAAAAAATCAGCCTATTAATGCTTCAGCACTAAGAGTCTCGTCATATTCTAATACTTATGACATTCAAATACTTCTTTTGTGCTAACAATACACATAAATCTTTTTTGGCATTCTGAAATAGCGATAGTATATACTCCATCTTTTCTTAAATAATAGTCTCCTTAGTTTTTTGTGATTTTAAGAAGAAAATAATAGGAGTAGTATAGAGGGTGTAGGGTAAATGAAAAAGTAGAAAAGAGAATATATTAAGGAGAGTAAAGTAATGATTAAGTAGGAAAAAGAAAGTAGTATGTAGAAAGTAGTATGTAGAAAGTACAAAAGGTTAAGGATAATAAAAGTGGAGGTATAAATGTATTTTGATTGAAAAAAATTACTAAAGAAGGAAAGAGAGACATATAAACATTTCAAAAAGTAATACATATGAAACAGTTATTAGAGAATGGAAGAAGTATTTATATTTATTTAAAGTTAATAAGGGCTAATTTGCTCCTTCATGGGAAGAATAGTTGTATATTTGCACTTTCAAACTTTAGGGGCACATCTATACTAGTACTTAAACATCGTTTTTGCACCTTTTCCTATTTAAAAACGAGAGTATTAAACTACTACATTTGATTATGTTGGGAGCGTGAACAAGTATGTTCTACAGTTACTTTTATTTTCAAGGAATCATGGGTATAAAATCTTCAACATATGCTAGAGAGCCAAAATTTTGTGGAAGAGAGATTGCAATGTAATGCATCAATGATCAATCCCATTTTGTTAATCAATATAGAATGTGGAGTAGCGAGCCCCATGGCACAATTAACTCTATTTTCATGCTTTTCTGTGGATGAGGTGATTAGGGACACAAAACATGTGTTAATATATGTTTGTTTGTTAAAACAAATTCATACTTTTCTACAACATTCATTGCCGCGAAGTCCGGGTCTCTATAGAAAATTTGAACAGTAATTGCGGATCCATATTGTGTCCCTATTTCTTGAATGCAACTTATCTTCATTTTCCTCACATTTGAGCTTTTCAAGATACCAATTCCCTTATTTGATGTCATTGTTTTTTCCGTGGAAATAATTATTTGGTTTTTGTGTAGCTTTAATTTTCTAGCAACACATGTCAAAAATGGATGGGGATTTACTTCATGGGACTCTACATGTCACAGTGTACGAGGTTGATCACATTAGTGGCGGGAGTGCCGATGAGAGACACTTTTTCCGGAAGGTAATAAATCTTTTTATGCATTTAAATGAAGAGAGTATATGATTATTCATTTTAGTTAGCTACATTAATGTAAAATTTTGAGTGTCTTTAATATTTGTTTTAAAGTGATGGATAATTCAATATTGCAGATTATGGAGCATGTTGAAGACACAGTTGGTATTGGGAAAGGAACACCAAAACTATATGCTACCATAGATCTAGAGAAGGCAAGAGTTGGAAGAACCAGAATGCTTCAAGAACCAAACAACCCCAAGTGGTATGAATCTTTTCACATCTATTGCGCCCACATAGCCAAAAATGTCATATTCACCGTCAAAGATAACAACCCTATCGGCGCAACCTTAATCGGGAGAGCGTATGTCCCCGTCCGTGAAATCTTGGACGGGGAAGAGATCGACCGGTGGGTCGAGATTGTGGACGAGGACAAGAAGACTCCAATTGAGGGAGGCTCCAAAATCCATGTCAAGCTTCAGTTTTTCAACGTCTCACGAGACCGAAATTGGGGAGGTGGAATTAGAAGTGGTAAGTACCCTGGGGTTCCATACACCTTCTTCGGACAACGGAAAGGGTGTCGCGTCACTCTGTACCAGGATGCACATATCCCCGACAAATTTATACCGAAAATACCCCTCTCGGGCGGAAAGCATTACGAACCTCATAGATGTTGGGAAGATGTGTTTGATTCAATAAGCAATGCGAAACACCTGATTTACATCACAGGATGGTCGGTCTATACTGAGATTTCACTAGTGAGGGATTCGAGAAGGGCAAAGCCAGGAGGGGAGATGATGTTAGGCGAGCTTCTTAAGAAGAAGGCAAGTGAAGGGGTGAGAGTTTGTATGCTTGTTTGGGATGACAGAACTTCTGTTGGACAACTCAAGAAGGACGGGTTAATGGCGACCCATGATGAAGAAACTGCAAATTTCTTCAAAGGAACCGATGTGAATTGTATATTGTGCCCCAGGAACCCCGACAACGGTGGGAGCTTCGTTCAGGATTTACAGATATCCGCCATGTTCACTCATCACCAAAAGATCGTGGTGGTGGATCATGAAATGCCACCGCCAACATCACGGAGGGGGAGGAGGAGAATCGTTAGCTTCGTCGGCGGTCTAGATCTGTGCGATGGGCGATATGACACGCCGTTTCATTCACTATTCAGGACGTTAGACACCGCCCACCACGACGACTTCCACCAACCGAATTTCACAGGCGCGTCAATTGCGAAAGGTGGGCCTCGAGAGCCGTGGCACGACATTCATTCCCGTTTGGAAGGGCCAATTGCTTGGGATGTTCTTTATAACTTCGAACAGAGATGGAAAAAGCAGGGAGGGAAGGATGTGATTCTCAATCTCCGAGAGCTTGACGACGTCATAATCCCGCCATCTCCGGTCACTTTCCCGGACGATCATGACACGTGGAATGTCCAGCTGTTTAGATCTATTGACGGCGGGGCAGCTTTCGGGTTCCCCGACTCGCCGGAGGAGGCTGCCAAGGCGGGTCTGGTCAGCGGGAAAGATAACATCATCGATAGAAGCATCCAAGACGCGTACATAAATGCGATTCGGCGAGCGAAGAATTTCATATACATTGAAAATCAGTATTTTCTTGGGAGCTCTTTCGGGTGGGATTCGGACGGCATTAACACTGCAGACATTGGGGCGCTTCACCTAGTCCCTAAGGAGCTGTCATTGAAGATCGCGAGTAAGATAGAAGCTGGAGAGCGGTTTGCAGTGTACGTTTTGGTGCCGATGTGGCCGGAAGGGATCCCGGAGAGCTCGTCGGTGCAAGCGATATTGGATTGGCAGAAAAGGACAATGCAGATGATGTATAAAGATGTTGTGGAAGCAATGAGGGCGAAGGGGATCACAGAGGAGGATCCCCGGAATTACTTGACGTTCTTCTGCGTCGGAAATCGGGAGGCGAAGAAGAGCGGTGAGTACGAACCTACAGAAAGTCCAGAACCCGATTCAGACTATGCGAGGGCTCAGAAGGCTCGACGCTTCATGATTTATGTTCACTCCAAAATGATGATTGGTAAGTCAAAGTCAAGCCACCACTTAATTCCATTCATCCAAATTCTTTTTTTCACTAGTAACATTCATAAGTTTTTCTCACATAATGTAGACATTATGGTTGACATTGTTGAGAAAAACTTACCAAAAACACATAAGGCCATGAAAAAAAGGAGAGAGAAATGTAATTAATTTAATCTTTTATGTCTATCTCTCTCCTGCCACATGTGCATCGTGCCCATTATAGTATTGAAGATGCTCTAAGAACATGAATTTAAAGCACAACAAATTACAAAGCCCTTTCAAAAAACAAATTACCAAGTTTTACTACTCCCTCTGTCCCAAATTGTTTTGCAAATTCAACATTTTTTGGTCAATCAATAAAAAAAGTCAATGCTCCATATAGTTAATTAATTCAATTTTTAATAATTAAAATTTATATATTCAGAAACTACATTAAAATCTATTCAAAGTTGTAAACTCCAAATTAGAATATAATTAAAAATTGACATCCTAATTAAGCAAATAAAATGAAACTGTTTGACCAAGAAAAGTCAAATTTGCAAATCAATTTGGGACGGAGGTAGTATTATTATATCCTTCTAACAAGTAGAAAAATAGAAGGGGATACTATATAAACTCAAATGGTGAAGCGGTAGATTGAATTATAAAGTCAAAGAAATTGAAACGTGTTCATACTTTTAGGTAAACAATACGAAGTATGAAATTAATTAGGTAAATCTATGGTACCCTTAAGGTACCATACCTTTGTTCACATGAACCAATCAGAATGATGCAGTTGAATTATTTAAATCTAAATTAAAAATGATATAATGATTTGAACTAATCAAGTGAGTGGTAGGTACGGTACCCCCATTTTTTAAATTGGTACCGGAGTTGTCACCAATTAATTATCCCTTACAAAATAGGGCAGATGGGTTAAAAATGTACTCCCTGAAAAGGTGCAACTGTGCAAGTAGTATATAAAAGGGGATAAACGCTAGAGGGAAAATTTTGAAAAGGCTAGAAAGAATAGGGATATTTATCAAAATTGCCTAAAAATAATGTGAAATTTCATGATAGGAGCAATGTTCTAAAAGGCGTAAGGCGTGCCGAGGCGGCGCGACCAAGCCTAAAAGCCTTTGAAGCCTAGACGGGTTTAGGCGGGGCTTAGGCGTGAAAAGGCGTTTTGATTTTTTATCCTTTATTTTGATTTTCCTACAACTATTTTGAAATATTTAAATTTAATACTCCCTTCGTCCCATATAAATGTGCATTTTCATGATCGATAAAATAAAACATTTTGGAGCGTTCTTATTTCTCACGTAAGGAGATGTCTCATCGCAACTTTACCCTATATATAAAGTCAAAAACTAGAATCGGAAAAGGTATTTGAATGATAAAATATTACAATTAATAAAAGGAATTAATATTTTTTATGTGACCAAAATAAGAATTGTAAATAAAAATGTGACTTAATTATAATATACTCCATCATTTGCAATGGAGCCAAAGATTCATTATTTTTTGGCTTGAGATTATGATGGAATAAAGTAAAATGACTCACTAAACTGTCTGCGCTTCTTTGTTATGAAGCAACAGTCAGTTCATGCAATTTTGGACGCGATTTTCACTATGGGTCATCCGGAAACGGTCTCTCTGTGCTTTAGTACAAGGGTAAGATTGCGTACATCCGACCACCCCTTACCCCACTGTAGGTGGGAGCCTTTGCGGCACTGAGGTAAATGAAAATGAATGAAATGAATTATAATATACTCCGTCATAATTACAATCATCACAACAATAATAATATTAATTAATTTTAATAGTAATTGTAGTAATACGAAGTACATAGTACAAAGTTGATAAGCGTAGCTGCGTAGGTAGTATAAATTATAGTAGCATAAGATACGGAGTATTAAAATATAAAGTCCAACAATTACATACTACCTCCGTCCCGCTATGATTGTCCCGTTTTACCTTATCGGTTCGTCCTATTAAGATTGTCCCATACCAAATTTGGCAAAGTTTGTGTGTCTCTAAATCATTCTTACTTTATTCTTACTTTATCGATTCATTATCAACCACATAAACCACTTTTTATTAATTTGCGTGTCACTCCCTCTTGTCCCATTGTTGGCGGGACGGAGGGAGTAATAACCACTTGTCCTCAATTGGAGGAGTATATCCTATTTAGGTCCTATTTCAAGCTAGGTTCGAAACACTCCTCTCACGCGTGTTATTTTGAGTTTTTGTTCTCCATTTTTCTTTGCCATACACATTTCCCACACCGGAGGAAGAGAAGCGTTTCACCTCAACAAACTCTATAAATTGTCCGTCGTCCCCCCCCCCCCCCCCCCCCCCCTCATTGCCTTAAGAAACGCCTTAGTAGCTTAAAGAGTGAACAGGTGCTTCAAAATAGGAGGGTTAGATTAATCAGCCCGCCTTTTCCACGCCTAATAGTGAAGCGAGGCGTTTCATTCACGCCTGGCGCCTAGGCCTGCCTATGCGGCGTCTTTGGCCGCGTTTTAGAACACTGGATAGGAGTACATTGTTCTTTCTTGAATTTGAGTATATCATTGTCATCCTAAAATTATATTCTCATATTCTAAAATTACAGACATTGATATGACATTATTAGTGTCGTAATTGTTTAATTGGCATTATTTTCAATTCATGACATTAATACTACTATTTAGAGAGAAAAAGATATAATACTTTTTTGTTGGAATTTGATATTGTTTTCAGTCCAATTTAAAGCATTTTTAAAAAAGAAAAATTGATCTGAATAGGAGCAAAAACGTTTTGAAATTCCAAAATAAGAGTATCATGTTTGTTATTATCTGAATAGGAGTAATCTGTCAAGTTTGGAAAAAAATGTCACGTTTTAAAGCATAGTAATGCCAAACTTGGCAGAAATTTACTCTTATTCAAGGAATAAAAAACATGATACTCCTGTTTTGGAATTTCAAAACTTTTTTACTCGTATTTAGGGAATTCTCTCTTTAAAAAAATAGGAATAAAATTTATGTATGCCCTTTTGATATACCGATAGTAATTAATATCTACCACAGTAAACATTGTCGTGTTTACTTGCACTCTAAATGATTAAAGTTTATTCCTATTATACAATAATACAAAACAAGAATCAATTTACTTCTAGGGGGTGTTTTTTTTTATAAAAGGTCTAATGAGCACTTGAGTAGGAACAAACATGCTTATCCTCTTTAATTATTTTGAAATAATTAAATAAGAAAATTATAAAATTAAAACAAATATACCCATGAACTAATAAGTACTCCGTATTAGAGAACATACATTTAATTTGTTCAATTATTGGGTGATCTTATATATATCTATTCCCTCAACTTTGTAAGAGAGTAATTAATAGTGATACTTAGTTCTGGGTACGTTGCGCGCAGTTGATGATGAGTACATAATAGTGGGATCGGCAAACATCAACCAAAGATCAATGGACGGGGCAAGAGACTCAGAGATAGCGATGGGCGCATACCAACCAAACCATTTGGCGAATAGGCAAGCTGCAAGGGGGGATGTTCATGGTTTCCGAATGGGGCTGTGGTACGAGCACCTCGGCATGCTGCACGACTCCTTCCTCCATCCCCACACACAGGAGTGTATTAGGAAGGTCAACGACATTGCTGACAAATACTGGGATCTTTACTCCGGTGATCGTCTCGAGCGAGACTTGCCCGGACATCTTCTCCGCTACCCCATCGCTGTCAGCAACGACGGCGCCATATCGGAGCTGCCCGGGACCGAGTTCTTCCCGGACACTAAGGCTCGTATTCTTGGCTCTAAGGCAGACTTTGTCCCCCCTATCCTTACTACTTAATAGAAAAACAAGCTAGCTTAGTACATGTTTAGAGAATTAATTCAGAAAAATGTTATTTGTAGATAGAGTTCCTGTGCTTCATAAGTTCACACTTAATACATACCTTTTCGGTGTTTGTTTTCTCGCAATGATATATCACCCATATTGGCTTGTAAGTAACATATATCGGAGTAATAAACTCGCATTTGTTGGGATGTTGTAATTGAATCTCTTTTAGGAGCTTCAGTTTTGTTGAAAAATAATACTGGTACTATTTAATTAATTCATGCTTTTCTTATAATTGAGTTTTTTTATATTAATCTTATATCTTATATTTGAGTTAACTCAGTTAAGAGGAGCTGAGTATTTGTCTATGAGGGTTACATGTATATATGGTCCATCGAGAATGATGTGGCAATGCGTTTAATTTGTACGTATAAGGTTAAGTGAAAACGGATTTAAAGCTTTCCTATTAATATTTATATAAATAAGAGTGATAAATTTTCACAATTATGATATGCACCAAAAATCCTTTTATTGCATTGCAGAAATAAAACATAAAGTCAAATATAATAAACCTTTGATAACTAAAAGCATAGTTTTTATTGATTTTAATAATTTTTTTGTCTCTCAGTTTTGACTTTTGAGTCACGTTATTGAACCAGACTCAATACAGTAAGTTTGTATTAACTTTAATATTTGTCACAATCATTTTCATCAATGAACTTTTCAATAGAAAATCATTATTTTTTAAACAAATTAATTTTTTCACCCCAGCACTGAACCAACTGAGCTACCCGTGCAGGTTTAATTTTGTCACCCTACACGAAGTAATGTATGACATAAGCAAAACAATTCATGAACTTGTTTATTTTAAAAAATTATTTAATGATTGTTTTTAGAAATTCATTATTGAAAATGATTCTGTGATAAAAATTGAAATTAATAAAAATTAATGGCATTAAATTTCGCTTATGTTATGTATTAAGTGAAATTAAATCACCTCCCTATATGGCGCATGGCACGATTATTTTTACAAATAGTAATCCAAATTAAGACTATGAGTGTCATTAACAATTTAACATGTAGACCAATGACACTGTTTACAAGCACAATATTATCTTGGGAGATTTTTCGATGGCCACTATTGAGGCTAATGTCTCTTTTATTTGGAGGAGTCTGTTTGAAACACAACAGTTGATTAGAGAGGGTTATTTTTGAAGGGTATGAAATGGTAGTTTTAATTAGATATGAGAAGATCCTTGGCTATCGGATGAACAAAATTCATAGTACCTCCGTCCCAAATTGATTTGCAAATTTGATTTTTTTTTGTATTGAGTGTGTTGGTGCCTTGGAATTGGCAACAATATAGAAGCTGATGAAGATGAGCACAAGAGGTTGGGAGATAGACAATCTAAAAGATATGTTTGGGGATAGATATTGGAAGCTAATAAGTACTACCTTCGTTCCCATTTTAACTTCCAAATGGATTTGGCCCAAAGTTTAAGATAGTGGATATTGTGTGGTGGAGAGTTGTGAAGAGGAGAAAGAAATGTGTAAGAAATGTTGTGAACCACAAATTCTTTACCAAAAATGGTAAGTGAAAGTTTTAATTGAAACGGACGAAAAGGGAAAGTTGGAAGTTTATTTATGAACGGAGAGAGTAGTATTTTTCTTAGTTAGAGGCAGGGGCATAGCTATAGGGGGACCGTCTAGGCCTGACACGCCCCAAATTTTAATTTTGTTTAAATATTAAAGTAAAAGAAATAGTGTAAAAAAGTTTTAAAAAAATCTTTGTATCGGCTCACCCTAATGTATTGCCCTGCCTCTGTCACTCATTGGAGGGACGTCCCAAATTGAGTCATTTGGAGATGGGATCAGAGGGGAGTGTATTCAGTAAAGAGTGAGTCACATTTCTTCCATAAAGTGGACACATTTTAACATTTTTGCCATAATACCGTTGTTAGTTTCCACATTTTTGACATAAAGTTGGCAATTCTCAAGCCATCGTCTCAAATTTAAGAAAATTGTTTTTTTTAAACTAAGAAATCACAAATCGGAGATACGACATATATAGATGTTTGAAAATTGGCAAAATCAATGTCAAAACTCATAAAAACATAAGGATAAAAGGAAAAACAGAAAAATCAATCTCAAAATTCAGAAAATAGAGAAATAAGATGATGAAGAAGAAGAAACCCTAGTGGCGATGACACGCAATGGGACCGGAGAAGCCTATCGATATGGTGTGCAGGGGAGAAGCGACCGATGTAGCGCGCAAAAGGGAAACCGGATGATTGCACAAGGGAGAGAGAAGTGGGATGACTTTGTAAAAAATTTTAGGGATTAATTAAAAGGACATATATGATATGAAATTTTATTGGGAGATTTACTTGCATATGACCAAAACATAGTTTTTTTTTCAAAAATAGGACTACGTTTTTAAAATGTCTGAAATAGGATTTTTTATTTGTGATTGGACCAAATTACTCATACGGTTGGAGTTGCTGCCCCCTAGGTTGCTCAAGTCGCTAGACTGCCACCGCCCCAAAATCCCCCCCCCCCCCTCAAAAAATATCTTAGTCGATCTGCTAGATTTTGGCCGCCGCCACAATGGACTGACCCACCATCAACAAACTGACATTGGTTATGCAAAGGAATTATAAGAGATATTTATTAGGTTAATTGATTATTTATTAAATTAGATGTATCAATGAAATGATTATTCCTGTTTTAAAAAACCAAATATGTGATCCTATTTTTAGAAGAATGACACTGTATATTTTAGTCTTAGTTTCAGCAACTTCAATTCCTCAATTTTATAATGTTTCTACGGAAGACTAATGTAGTCCTATACTCCTATGTAGTACTTGTTCATTAAGTTTTAGTCCGGTTTACTTATTAGGACAATTTGTACAAGGAAAAAGGGTTAAATAAACTCTTCTACTATTTTCTATACGTCATTTAAGTTCATGTATTAAAAAAATATCATATAAGTTTGTTTAATTTTAAAATACAATCAAACAAGTCATTTGATATGCTATAGCTGGTTATTTTTTAGAATTTTTTAATATTAAAAACATGTTATTATAGGGCAAAAATTGATTAAATGGTCAAATTGATCAATTTTGTATTATAGATGTACTTATATTATATGTATTACTTTTATAATATACGAAGTATGAGCTTAAGTAACGGATTAGAAATAGCATACTCCATCCGTTCCTAAATAAATTTTCAACTTTCTTTTTTCGTTCGTTCCAATTAAAACGTCAATTTTCCCTTTTTAGTAAAGAATTTGTGATTCACACCATTTCTTACACATTTCTCTCTTCTCTGCACAACTATCCACCAGACAATAGGAACGGAGGGAGTAACATTTATTTCACCATTTTTCCTTTCTATAATACTCGGTAATATAAAACCGGGCATGATCCGATCCACATCTCCACCGGTTCAGTTCAATTGGAGTTTATCATCTCCTCATCTCAGCTGCATTTGTTTATTTCCAACCCTATCCACTACGAAAAGGGGATTATTCATTGTAGAATTACTACTTTAATTAATCATAAAAAAATCACGTGGATTATTATTGAGCGGAGTACGGGCATGCAATGTCAATGTTTTGAAGCTGGCTGCTTGTCTTCTTCTTCTTCGTCTTATTAGCGGCACAGGAGAAGAATCGTGCATTGACTCTCTATCTCTCGGCTCGGAGAAAGGCATCGATTTCGGAAGTGCTTCGCCCAGACGGAGAGGGAGAAGGACCGCAATTCCTTTCTCTCTCGGGTTTTTCTCTATCATCCATCTCCGCATGTCAAATTGTATGCGTTGATCGAATCGTGATTGAATCAGATTTTGTATCCATGAAATGCGCAGGGATTTCTGAAGACGCGTGAGAACTTCCTGGATTCGGCGTTTATTGCGGCAGCGCTGCTACCATCGAATCTATTGCTGCTTGGTCTCTCTGTATCGCTGCCGCAGCCATGGGGTACGTATGTCATTTGTGTTTTTATTCTGCGTCATTATCGCTTTTAGGATTTATTGGAATTTGTCTGGATTTAGACTCCTTTCCTCAAACGGGTCGATTTTGCTTTATCTGATGATAAATTGCATAAGTTTTGGATAAGCTTAGTTCAAAGCTGGCAAATCAGTCACGCACTCACAGATACGTATATCTTTGGATTTTGGAACAATAGTTCTGGTCCCTATAGATGTTTGTAATGCCACCGGTCCCCAATTTGACATTTTATCTTGTCAGCTATTCATTACTCCTCGGTCCTCAGTTGGAGGAGAATCATTTTTTTCCACATAGAATGGCAGATTGAGCGAGGATTGTTTATTCGTATTACACTAGCCAAAACTTATTTTGTTTAACATAAAGATGTAAATTTTCATATATGGAGTCCCAAGGTTGAGTAATCTATTTTGGACATCAATCCATGTCTGTTAAGGCATATGCAAAGTATGATGAATGGATTCATTGATAAATATAATACTCTGTAACTCTTGTGTCTGGCTGACAGCCTGACATAAACAGAAGGGTGTGCACATTTGCCTTCTTCTTTATTGTGCATAGTGCACCCTGTTATAAGGGTTGATCTTAATACTCCGTATGTATTAATCCATTACTATTAGTTAGTTTCAGCACACCATGTTTTCACATACACGAGGCATTGCAATAATGAGAAACATCAAATTATCTGAGGCTCCAATTTTAATGGTTCTACATGCAGTGTGGTTGAATTCCAGTATAATCATGGTGTGGCTGATCCTATGTGGCAACACAAATAAGTTTACATGAGTCTGCACTGCCTATGATATTCTTGCTCTTAGTTTTGTGACAAGAATTTCCATCATTTTCAATGGAGCCAAAGACTCACTATTTTTTTGCTTGGGAATATGATGGAATAAAGCAAAATGGCTTACTAAACTGTTTGCGCTTCTTTGTTATGATGTAACAGTCAGCCTATGCAATTTTCGACGCAATTTTCAATACAAGTCATTCGGAAACAGTCTCTCTGCGCTTTAATACAGAGGTAACATTGCGTACATCCGACCCCCCTTACCCCACCATAGATGGGAGCCTTTGCGGCATTGGGGTAATGATGATGAATGAATGAATGAGTTTTGTGACAAGAATTGTTCTTTAAAGGAGAAAAAAGTATGTAGGGGCTTAACTAATTATTTTCATAATTTCATTGTGCCAATCATTTTTAATGTAAGTGATATAAAATATTGTTCAGGATTTCTATGCGAACGAGGTATGCCGACTAGACTGAAAGGTAAATTTTATCGTACATCAATTAGACCGGCATTAATGTATGGTGTAGAGTGTTAGACGATGAAGCAATGCCACATTCAAAAGATGAGTGTGACAGAGATGCGTATGTTTTGTTGGATGTGTGGACATACAAGAAAAGACCGCTTGAGGAATGAGGTAATCAGACAAAAGGTGGGAGTAGCACCTATAGAACATAAGATGCAGGAGTCTCGTTTGCGGTGGTTTGGGCATGTGCGTAGAAGACCGAGTGATGCACCTGTTAGACGACTTGAGGGTGGGGAGAAGAGGCAGAGAAGAGAGAGAAGGGAAGACCCAAACAGACTTGGATTAGAGGAATCAGAATTGATATGCGTCTTCTTGGGTTGGATGAGAGTATGGCTTTGGAGAGAGCAAAGTGGAGGGCGCACATCCTTGTGGACGATTGATGTCTTTTCTACCTTTCCTCTCTTTTTTCTTTTATCGTTTATCTGCCTTATCTTTTTATATTCTTATGTTATTTTTATCTTCTAGCTTTTTATGCTCTTTTATTTTGTATCTTTTATCTTTCTTATATTCTTGTGTTATTGTTATCTTATATTTATTTATTTTTATTTTATTCATTTTATCTTACTTTTTTGTTTTTCCCTTTCTTGTCTGTCTTCTCTTTTTGGCATCGATATCATAGATCGATTCATGTTAGTCGACCCCAAATTCTTTTGGGATTAAGGCTTGGATGTTGTTGTTGTTGTTGATATAAAATATTGCATAACTTATTATTGCACTCTGATATATTTGAATTATGTGAAAGCGCTAGCTGTTATCTAACTAGAGCAGTTCATGCTGCTATCACTGCAATATTTTTCAGTGTACTAGAATAGATTCTTACAGAACCCAATCCCATTTGTAACAGAGCAGTGGTTGTCTTGGATGTGATAACAACGCTAATTTGATTTCATCCTTCAACCATACACCGAGAAGGCAGAAAATAAAATATTACAGAGAGCCAGTACCTAGCAGCATATCAGAAGATTTCTGGACTACAAGCGCACGGGATATGGATGGGAACGCCATTCAATCACGTGGAAGCATATCCTCTATTAGTACTTCAACCCAAGCACATGATGCTCACAGCAGTGGAAGTATAAACGCCCCTTCTGAGTTTGTAAATCATGGTAAATTATTTTCTTTTGGATTTAATTACATATGTATGTAATGATGATACACAAACACACACACACACACACACACATATATATATATATATATGTGTGCACTGTACCGAAGACCTTAGATTTAAAATAAAATGTTTGTGATTCATTCATGTGGGGTTCATTTAATGTATGCGGTGAATATTCGTGTGGATCAAAGTTCTGCTAAAAAAGTGCATACATATATAGGTGTAGTGGGGGTATGCACCCTGGCTACGTTACTGCAGACATGCATATGCATACACAGTTACACATATATGCATATACATATATGTCTTCATATGTATTTGTGTGTGTGTGTGAGCGTACTGAAATAAAAAATATATATCCTATGGAAAATATGAATTCATCTGAGTTATACATATAAACGGGTAGGGTATAACTTGATGTTATGAAGTCCACCTGATTATGTGCACCAAGTGCATACCATTTTGATTCCCAATTTCAGTGGACACGCCCAATTTCGATGCACATGATGAATTATCATTTTTCATGTGTGTGTGTGTGTGTTTGAGCATGTTCTGACATTCAGGTCGCTTTTCAAATATTATGTCATTGAGTACAGCACATGTCTCAGTTGTTTAGTGTGATGTTACATTTGAAGGTTGCCTATCAGACCTGTTTACTTCTTGAGTTTCAGTTGAGTTATTGTATGGAATATTTCTTGTTCGCAGGACTAATATTATGGAACCAAATTAGACAGCATTGGGTAGGAAGTAAAAAGCCGCAAAACCAGTCACAGCAGCCGTCTGAGCCCAAATTAAAGTAAGATGTGCGCCTGTGTGATATTTGAGATAGCATTGTTCATAGCTTAGGTTCGTATTATATTTTTATCTCTGACCCTGCGGTGCTACAGAGTTCTCTTGAGATGTTTAAGCTGCTGGCATTTTCTTGCACCTTTGATCCTTATTTCCTTAAGTAATCATAGGGTTGCAAATTCCTAAGAAATTGTTTGCCTTGCAGCTGGAATTCAACATATGATAGTTTGCTTGGAAGCAACAAACCGTTCACGGAACCTATTCCTCTTGGTGTAAGTCTACGATATTTACCTACTATGAGGCTTTTTCCTCTATTTTTTCCTTAATATATACTCCGTGGACCTAGACTAGTGGGCAGTCCAGGACCCCCAAATTTAGAATTTGAGATGGGTAGAGAAATATAACCACACACCCACACATATACACAGTACCTAGAAGTATATTATTGTATAATTTCAGCACGTGAAAAAAAGTTTTTTGACACATATCGGGCGGGGCCAGACTGGCATATCCATTATCCATATATCCTATTGAAAGGGGTGAGATTAAACCATTTTTTAGATTAAACCATTTGAAACATAGAATAACATGTTTATCAAATACGTAGTATGTGTGAATAAAATAAAAGTAGTCTAAATGACTAGCAGATGATAATGAATTCGTATTTTTGAAAGCGTCTAATGACTCATTTTAGATGGGTCCGACCATTTCCTAGCCAACTCTTGAGTTCTTGCTTTGGGTTGTTTTCACATATATACTGTGTATGGATATGTTCATAGAAACGAATAAATCCTCTTGGAGTAACTTGTGATGAACATGTATTGTGTTTCAAACTCGCAGGAAATGGTAGATTTCCTTGTGGATATTTGGGGCCAGGATGGAATGTATGACTGAGCTGATGTAATCTAAGTTTGTTTGATTCATGGCCAATAGGTGATCAGCTCTTTCTGAACAGGAGTGCATTTCGTCTGTACACATATTCAGAATTCTGTTACTGAACTGGTCTTCTTTTTATATTATAGACTCTATTTAAATGCAAGGACTGCAGTCAAAAGCTGTAGTTCTTGGGTTCCATATGAATCGTTTGTTTTGTTCCATTTGATAGGTACTGCATGAGATCAGTGCCGAACTTACCTTTGACCCTGAGCTCATATTCTACTGCTAGTGGTGTATGACTTGATTCATTAACAAATTTGTACGATAAAATTGATACAAAATTTATACTGAAGTTGCAATTATGGTAGGGTAGTTTGAACATTTGACTCGGAACTTACGGATCATTGAATAGTGTGACCAGTGGTGGAGCCAGAAATCTATAGCTAAGGGGATCGGTCCTTACAAGTTTTACATTTCAAAGGACAACGTTTAAAATATCAACCTATTTTCCATGGATTAAAAGTATTCATACATAATATAATATGTACTTAAGATTTTTTTTTCTTGTAGGGGCTTACAACAATATATCATTTTAAGGATTGATGCATCACAACAGAAATTATTGTTTTCTATTTTAAGTAAACTTGTTAAGACATGGATATATATATATATATATATATATATATATATATATATATATATATATATATATATATATATTCTCAACTTTTTGTTCTCATTTTTTGGTATTATATTTTTTACGAAGTACATGATCGATATGGGTTGTGTTTTTACTTTGTACGATAGGTATTGTTAAATGCTTAAATTAGAGTTTTTGGTATTTATGGAGAAAAAATTGTAGCTTTAAAATTTATATCTTGAACGGCTGGCCCATGGTATTTTTCAAAACATGCCAATTATTCTTTTAATTATTTTCCCGGTGCCCTGCTGTCACAAAAAGTTGCCATCTTTGACTTTCTGATCAAAAATATAGAATTCTGACCAATAATAGAGTAATACTCCGTATACGCATTATAAACTACGGAGTAAATGATTTAGCTTATTTAAGCATGAGAGAAATAAAAAAAATACACTTTGTACAAAACATTCCCATACTAGTTCGAATTGTAAGCTTTACATTAAAATACATCGCTACGTATCTAAAATATACATCTTGTGTAGAATAATTATAAATGTATGACTAATAAATCGCATTTCCTAAGATGTAGTCTCTTAATTTACAAATAGTCATAATTAAGTGACCATGACACTATTTTTATAGTAATTTTAGTCATATTTTTATAACTAAGTTTTAATTGAAAAATGTAAGTTTTTATTAATGAAATAAGTAAAAAATATGAGGAAAACCCCCAAAATGGTCCAATTTAAATTTTTCAGCCAATATAAATTTTCCAATTCATTAGGAAAAAACCTAACTTATTCTGATTTTAGGATAATCACTGCACGGAATGAAAAGTTATACATTGAATAAAAAATGACCGATAAAATTGATGAATGGAAAGTTGATACTACCAAGGGGCTCTTAAATTTTCACCACAAATTCTCAGAAATAAAGTATAAATATGTTCTTTTAAATTTTCGAAACTACATGAGAACATACACAACACAACTAAATTTAACAATAAATAGTCATCGGAGATGATATCCATTTCATCTCTTTTCGTGTGTTTTTAACCTATTATAAATTTATAGTACTAACATATGAGTATTTAATTGGAATGAAATCCGGAGTAACAAATAACACTAACACACATGTGCTAATAATATAGACATGTCCCCGGTTCGAACCTGAACCGAACCAGCGGTTCAAGTTTTCACTTATAGGTTTGGTTCTAGGCGATTTGAAACTGCCGATTCTGGGTATGGTTCACGAGTTTTTAGTTTTTTTTATTAAACTCATTGAGGGTTATAAGAAATTGAAACGTTAAAGATATAAAAATAACGAGTTTTTTTCAAAAACAATGCTAAATAAAAAAGGCTTTTTGGCCTGAATATTACTAAAAATAAGATAAAAGACAAAAAAGTGACATGTTTTTTAAAATTCCAAAAATGTGACCAAAACTTCAATTAACCTCTATAGTGTAAAGTGACTCCGACCTAAGTGACTCCAACCAAAGTGACTCCGGTACACAATGATTGCCGCACTGGCCAAAGTGATTGACCCAATAGTCACGGTGACTGCTCTACCGCTCACCGTGACTGCTCACCAGCAAAATTAGTGACTCCGACATGGTGACTCAGACTGCCTCCAACACTGCCCCTAAGTCCACACACAACCTCAGTTACACTCCCACACACAGGCCCTTAGCCCACAGTCCACAGCACACACCCCACTCACACTAGCAAACCCAGCTCCTCCCCTGTTGCTACCACTCGCCGGCAACCGGCAACAACCGCCCCACCACCCAAGTTAGAAAGCCAGATTTGAAATCTAATCGTCAGAATCTGAAATCTATCAGATTTGGGAAGGAATTCGAGCAGCGGCGGTCGACACTCCATCGAAGACGACAACGACTGAGGTGATTCAAAGTGGCGTCAATTGACAAGCTCCATCGAAGAAGATGACAACGATGGAGGTGTTCCGGAGCAGCGGCGGCAAAAGTGTTACTGGCGAGAAGAAAGGAGAAGAAGAAGATTGCCTCCTAGTCTCCTAGAGAAGACTGTGTTCGGTGTTGAGCGATGAAGACGATTGGGAGGAGCAGCCAGTTGTGGGTTGCCTCCTGAGGGATAGCAGAGTTCACGGATGAAAGCTCCATGGCTATGCGCGAGAATGACAGATGCGAAGGAGAGAATGACGAGATTGAAGGGTTAGTGCTAAAGTTGTGGATGCAGGGAGAAATAGTGGTTGCCTTCGATCAGAATAGCAGATGCATTCACGGATGGGAGTTCATGGATGATTTGGATTTTTATTTTATCAAGGGCAAAAACTAATTAGGATTCATATTTTGGCAACAATAAATTTGTAGTCTTACTTTCAAATTTTAATCATGTTTTAGTCCAATTTAGGATAATTTTTAAAAAAATTAAAGATAAATTGTAGGGATTTTAAGGATTAAGAAAAATATTTTGAGCCATGGAGCTTTCATCCGTGAACCTGAACCGAACCAACGGTCATATTTTTGGAAAATAGAAGTCTAAGAGTCTTATTTGGGCCATTAAAAAATTATTTACAAAATTAGAGTCGGGTTAAAACTATTTACCAAAATACTACTGAAATTAACTCCAGTTAACCAAAGCCACCACTTCGTTTGACGACTTATTTTGGCAAATAGTTTCCGGTGAACAAAGTGGCGACTTTGATTAACAGAATTTAATTCCGGCAATATTTTGGTAAATAATTTTAACTCAAACCTAATTTCATAAATATTTTTTTATTTAGCACTATTTTGAAAGAAAAAACTCAAAAATAACATCTTAATAACTTATTTTTAGCAACCTATATAGTCAATATAGGTTGCTAAAAAAACATGTCCAAGACAAAAACGAATCAATGGAATTTCATTGATTCGTTTTGTGTCTTGGATATGTTTTGTTATTTAGCAACCTATATTGCCTATAAAGAGCATTTGTTTGATTTTTCGAAGTTGACTAGACTGTAAGTAGGGATGGACTCGGGTCCAGGCCAGGTCCGGGTCGGGCTTAGGCCCGGGCGGGCCGGCGGTTCAGAAATGGTGGACCCGGGACCGGCCCGGGTAACCACCGGGTCCGGTCCGGGTCCGGGCCGGGCCGGACCGGGCCCATTATCATTTTTTTTTGTTTTCCTCTTCCTAATTAACCCCCCTCCCACCCCCAACCCCCCAAACCACCCCAAATGGCCCAAAATACCCAGCCCAACCCGAAAATTTAAAAAAAAACTTGAAAAAAAAAGGTTTTGGCCCGAATCGGGCCCGGGCCCCGCCGGGTCGGGCCTTGTTTTGGGTGACCCGAGCCGGGACCGGAAAACCCACGAGCCAGACCTACCCGGACCGGTCACTGACCGGGCCACCGGGTCGGGCCGGGCCGGGCCGGAATAGTACCGGTCCCGGGCCGGTTCCGGGTCGGGCCACCCGGCCCGAGTCCATCCCTAACTGTAAGGAGCAATTTTTTTGGGTTGAATGAGATGGTGTGGTATTTACTGGGGACAAGAGTTGCCACTTGGAGTGACGACTTTCTCTAACCGTGCCAACTCCAGTAGTATTTTATGAATTATTTTTTAATCCAACAGTATTTTGAAAATTATTAATTTAATTAGCATTATTTTGTGAAAAAACTCATGTTTTCTTCGATGTTTTTAACCTATTATTGTAGTCAAGCCCCGCTCAGACTCCGTTGATATCTCTCAAAAAGGATACCTCAAATTCCAAGCTTATTTCAATCTAAGATGTTGACACTATTATTATTTATCGATAAAATATCAATAAAATAAGTTTTTTTAATATATGGCATTTTCATGTCTAATGTTAGTGGATGAAGATGGTAAGGAACAACAAAGTGAAAAGAATGAGAAAAAAGTTTTACTATCTCCGTCCCGCAAAGAAGTTCTCACTTTCCTTTTATGGATATCCCAAAAAGAAGTATTTTTAATATAAAGGAGTATTTTTCTTTTACCCAATGTTTGATTTAATATAAAGGAGTATTTTTCTTGAGGAAATTGAAAAATGAATGGGTGAAACGTGTGCGACTCACGACCGCAGTCCATCGGGCATGGCGGTTCATCAGAATATACCCGGAGCATTGGATAATGCCTCTTTCGGATTTGAAGCAAAACACTGAAATTCAGTTAATAACAGTTTCAAGAACGCTATCCACTTGTTTGGAGTGAGAGGTTTCATTTTCGTCTCTTGCTATTCCCATAACATCAACGGCTGCCGTTAGTTCCATTAGTTTGCTTTACGGCTTTAAACATTTGTGTATAATAAAATAAAATGCAATAAATCATGTTTTTATTTGTAAAAAAAGAAATTTAAAAGAAATTTTCCAGTGAAGTGTACACAATAGAAACGTGTAGAATAGTTTTTTCCACTGCGAAAAGGATAACTGTCCATTGTTTTGTCGCGTTCGTGCAGTCCTTTCCGCAATTATTACTTTTTCCAGTGTCAATCTAACCCCATAAATTAAAAGAAAATCCTGTATAATTAAACGTTAAGAAAGGTCTGATCTTTTGAGTTAGAAGAGCGAGAAACACTTTTTATGATCATCATCCCTGTTTGGGTTGAGGTGGGTGAAAGATGGCGACTTCTGATGAAAAGCAGGCGCACGATCAAGATGAGTTCATCTCTTTGGAGCTTCCCGCACCCTCTTCTTGGAAGAAACTGGTATTCCCATCTCCTCCCTCTTTTTACCTTTCTTCAAGTTCAAACATGAAATTGTGAGTAAATAAAGCGACAGACTGTGTTTTTTATAGTTATTCTGGGAATATTGAGCTCGTTAATAGAAAGTATGCTCCTTAATATTAACTAGGATTTTGTTCTTGCCCGAATCAGAAGGGTTGTTCAATCCTTGCTTGCCTGTCATTTAATGGAGCTCTTGTTAGCTCCCCATTAGTTGGTTAATTAATGACTTATGGGTTCAGCCTATTACGGCTGATTGACCTTGCTCTTGTCTTTAGGGGGGTGTCCCCAATTATAATTCTAAAGGATTTCAAAGCATTCTATGGAATTGCCAGAATCTATCAGATTCTAGTGGAATTGTTTCCCAAATCCACACTGACCTTGGACAACCGATCTTCCCTATGAAGTCCGAACTCTTCCAATCTTCTCCACCTATCCGCCGCTCATAGCAGTCCATCCTCCTCCTCCATAGTCCAAACCTCCGAATTCTCAGCTGGAGACTCGAGCAACCACGCCTCAGGATCCAAGCCTCTGCCTCTGCCTCCTTGCCTCTGACTTCACGCCTCGCAGGAGTCACAGCGGTGGCTCGCCTCCAAAAGAAATCCGTTCAAATCCCAGGGGATGGGTGAGATTTTGGGTAGAATTATTTCCTTTAGATTTTAGCCTTTAAATCCTTTCAAAGCCTTTTAATCAGATTTTGAGCTGATTAGTGCCCACCACATGCGAAGTTAATCTAGCTATTATCAGATGTCTTTATGGTCAGATTCATAATACTACCATATGCCATTCATGGACGCCTTCTCCACCATTATCCATTGCTTTCTAGGCTTGCTGTTGTTTTGAGACTGAGCCACCTTCAGGTCCGCCATTAGATGTAGAAAATAAAAGGAAGGTGCTAAAGATGGAAAATAGGTGAATCATTTGCTTAGTTATCCAGGGAATTTAGTGTACTGTGCAGTCATCCATATTTGACTGATGTGGTCATGTGGGTAACATGCTTGTTTGACTTTGACTTTTTGTAAGAGACCAATCTAAGTCTTATGTTCTTTTTTCATTTTTGATAGGATCAAATCAAATTGGGGTACAGGGGAAACTCCTAGGAGGTCAACAAGGATCATTGAAAAGAGCAAGTCAAGACCATCATTGACTTCAGAGATTGAGACACACAAGAAACGGCGCCGGACTTCCTCTGGGAGAAAGAAGGACATCAAGGACACGGAGGAAGAAGTAGGAGGGGAAGATCCCGAAGCTGCAAAAGAAGAAACAGATGTTGAGGGAAAGAAAGAAGTGAACTCCGCTAAGGAGGAAGTGGTGGACAACAAAGACGATGAAATACCAAAAGAGGAGTCCATTGAGTCTAAGGGTATGTTCAAATTTTGGATAAATGGAGGGATTCAGGGAAAGCAAATGAAAGTTTAATTTATATGTTTGATTTACCTACACTTACGAAATTCAATATACAAGTCCGCTTACAAAATCTTATGATACCTCCCCTTTAAACTTAAGGTTTTAGGATTGAATGTCTAGATTTATTATGGTATCCAAGCAAGCACGCCAACCCCATTAAGTTTCAAAGAGAGAATACAGATTCACTAGCCGCTGTTACTTATAAATAGAATCCTAAGTCTTATTAAGAAAATGAATTACGATTATTTAAAAAAAAATGTACATGTATTTAGATTTGTTGGTCTTATAAAATAAAGAGATACTCCCTCCGCCCCCCTACTATTATTGTCCTAGTTTCTAGTTACTTGTTCAACGCAAATCACTCTTAATATCTTACTTTATGTATCAAATTTTTATCAAATTTGATTCTGGTTTTTTGCGAATTTGTAAAGCTTTCAATGTAGCTTTTGAATATAGTAATAGACATCATCATTATCATTAACAGTACCCTAGTGCCGCAAAGTCTCCCACCTACGGTAGTGTACCCATAGTGAAAAGAGATAACAGACATGAGTAAACTGTAAACAAAATGAATATCAACAAACCTATCGAGTTTGAGCACACCTTTTTTGCCCCCTCCCACATTTCTTTCCTTCCAATAATCTATCCTCTTAAATTTACTTCCTGTGTTATTTTTCTAGAATCATCCCAGTTTGAAGCAGACCCTAAAGATGACGAGGATAGAAAAATGACAGAGGTTAGTCCGGTCAAAGAAGCAGCGGCTGGAGATAAAAATCAGTCAGAGGCGGTCAAGTTGGAGGAAAATGGTATTAGCCAAGATGAAACCAAGAAGGGAACTGCTGAGGCTAAAAATGTGGAGGCACACCAATTATCCCCGAGCAAGGAGTTTCCGGTTCAAACTAAAGAATGCCATGAAAGTGAAAAAGATGTGGATACTGAAAATAATGATAATGAGAAAAAGAAAGAAGCAGTGATAGAAAATAGTGTTGTAGTTAGTCAGGCTGGGTTCACAAATGCCCCCTCTCCTGCACCTATTAGCTGCTGAATGAATGGGTTTACCTCTCATCTTATGTGTCTTTGTAGCACTGTCTTCCATCTTTTTGGATGACTGTATGTAATTACTGAGCGTCATAGATGTGTAGTTTTCAGGATTCAAGTTTTTATTTTCATGATAGGCTGACTTGTGTTTCGAGTTTCCACATGTGTATCAACTCTTGTAGTAGTTTTACTTGTCACTAATAATTGATATAAGAAGTCTTTTAAAATGTCAAATAGTTGTGGAATTTCATAGCCCTGTTAGTCGTTTTGGTCTTGTACACACTATACTGGAGCTAAGGGCAAACTGAACTGACCAGACTGGTCCCTGGGCACTATCTGGTCTTGTCTTCCTAAACTGGTTCTTCGGCCACTTTTGGAATCGGTTTTATTTTTAATTAGACTACGAATTTGGGTAGGAAATGAACTTGTATGATCAAATTCTATCTGACTCTGAACCAAAAGTATTACCAGTTCTAACTTCTACGTATAGTTTCCCTTTTTGGGATTGTAATTGGATGTGTCTACCCGTACTTTTAGTATAACTTTTCTCTTAATACATCTAGTTTTATTCAGACACGCTCTAAAGTCTGCTATTTTTCTGTGCTGGTTCCTTGGATGTAAACTCTAGTTAGGTTATAAAAAATACGTATCTAAGCAAAAAGTTAAAAAAAAAAAGCAAGATAGAAAGTGGAGATGGAACTTGGAAGGAATGGTCTTAAGATAATACTGTATAGAGAGCATGACACTGATGCCAATGAGAAAAAAGAAAAGTATACTTTTACATCAGAAAAAGAATAAAGACAAAGGTTGTCTTTTACATCAGGTTGGAATCCAGCTTAACTTCCTAAACATATGACCCCCAAAGTTTGTATCTCAATGCACCAACATTTTGCACTTGGTCTCTACACAAAGGTTTGGAATCTCTCTTGGTTTTGATCTATGGCAACCCTACAGAGGAAGAATTGCATCCTAGATGCTTATATAGGCAGGTTGTCATGAATAAACCTTTTTGGATATATTAACATCTCATACTACTAACTGACTTGCCATCTTAGTTCGTAACACCTTCACAATGAATTTGCATTTCCTCATCCCCACTTTTCTCCTCCTCACCTTTTCCTTCTCAAACAGTATGCTTAATTTTTGTGTTGTTTTTCTTACCTTTATGTTGATAATGTCTTACATTGACTAAATATGAAATACTTAATAATTAAGAGTGGGACAATTGTAACCTCTTAAGAGCTGAGATACACCCCAACATTGATTCCTCATTGATTCCTTTAAAGCGGTCTGATTTTGCTTTTTTTGCAGCATTTGTTGGAGCAGCAATGGAAGGGACATATGGAGTAAACTACGGAAGAATATCTGATAACATCCCACCACCGGAACGGGTTGCGACTCTACTCCGGGAAAACAAGATAAAGAACATCAGACTCTACGACGCGGATCACTCGGTCTTGACGGCCTTCAATGGTTCAGGAGTTAGAATTATCATCGGCCTTCCAAATGAGTTCGTGACCGACATGGGCGCAAGCAAGGACAAGGCCATCCAATGGGTGAAAGACAATGTGGAGCCCTTCATCCCCAGCACGAAAATCGTCGGAATCGCGGTGGGAAACGAGATCCTAGGTGGCGGCGATATGCAGCTCTGGCAAGCCTTAGCCCCAGCAGTGAAGAATGTTTACAGTGCTCTTCAATCCCTCAACTTGGCCAAAAACATTGAAGTTTCCAGCCCACATTCTGAGGCCGTGTTTGAAACCACCTATCCTCCATCTGATGGTGCATTCAAGGAAAGCCTTCTTCCATTCCTCAAACCCCTTCTCCAGTTCTTCTCTCGCACTCGATCGCCTTTCTATATTAACGCGTATCCCTTCCTGGCATACAAGAACGACCCGGATCACATAAACCTGAAATACGCTCTCTTCGAATCGAATTCCGGCATCTATGATGATAAGAACAAGCTGCATTACTACAACATGTTTGACGCCATGGTCGATGCGTCTTATATCGCTCTGGAGAAGCTAGGGTATCCGAAAATGGAAGTAATCGTCTCGGAAACGGGATGGGCTTCGCAGGGAGATGGGAACGAAGCCGGCGCGGACGCGAAGAACGCCATGATTTACAACAACAATTTGCGGAAACGGCTGCTGAAGAAGAAGGGGACGCCTTACAGGCCGAAGACTGCGGTGAAGGCTTACATTTTCGCCCTGTTCAATGAGAATCTGAAGCCTGGACCGACTTCTGAGAGGAACTTTGGGCTGTTTAAACATGACGGGAGTATCGCGTATAAGAATGGGTTTAAAGGTCTCGTCTCGCCCGCCTCTTCATTGATCTCGTCCACTACGGTACGTACGTCTTTCTCCATCTCTGGAAGTCATCGAATTCTGCCTACGAGGCGTTTTAATCTTCTTTTTTCCTTCTCTGCCTCGTGAACTGATGAGTTATGTTCATATGTTGTATTATGCAGGAAATCTTGATGTGTGCAGCAATGGTGATTCTGTTTCTGGGATCTTGAATTCCAGAACGATGGTTCTGATGATTGTACAGAAATACTCATTCATTTTATTGAAATATAAGAGCAGAATTTCAATGAAACTTCTTCAGTCGTCTTGTATATCTGCAGTGTTTTTTCTTCTAAACGGAATACTAGGACAATTTAAAATTTAAAGCCCTGGCCATATTCATGGTAGTAGTGGACTCGGGCCGGGTGGCCCGACCCGGATTCGACCCGGCCCCGGCTCGAATCGGTGGCCCGGTCAGTGGCCGGTCCGGGTAGGCCCGACCCGAGGGGTTTCCGGTCCGGGCTCGGGTCACCCAAAACAAGGCCCGACCCGGGCCCGGTTCGGATCAAATTGATTTTTTTTTTCATTTGTTTGGGCTCGGTTTGGGTTGGGCTTGATGTTTAGGAGGGGTTTGGTGGGGTTTGGGGGGAGGGGGTCAGGGATAGGTAAGTAAGCAAAAATAAAATAAAAAATTAACCAAGCCTGAAGCCCGGTCCGGACCCGGTGGCTACCCGGGCCGATTCCGGGTCCACCTATGCAGACCTGCCGGCCCGCCCAGGCTTAGGCCCGACCCGGACCCGGTCTGACCCGGCCCGAATTCACGCTTAATCTATGGTAATATTGAAATCAGATCGATCGTCTGAAGTAAATTACGAAAAAAGTATTTAGAATAACCTTTTTTGGAAAGGAAATCACATATATTTACACTATTGGTTTTAGTGTCCTTAACTCAATCAAAGAAAATTATATTTGACATTAATTATGATTGTAAACTGTATTGTTAGACAAAAAAATGATCACCCCAGAAAAATCAACACAAATCGCTAATCACGAAGCGGACTTTACACAACTATATTGATTTTATAGATTCGTATACTTCTACTAACATAAGATGAGTTAAATTTCAAATCATCCCGGTGAACCTAGCAACAAATACTTTAACAAAAAACAAAATAACAAAATAATAATAACTGATATGATAAATTTCTTGAGCTCTGACATTTCGTTCAACTCATGGCAGTGGTTCAATAGGTAAGCGATCATCTGTACTGTTGTGATAGATCTTGCATCACAAGCGGAATTTTTCGCACTGTTCACGCAGATGAGTCACACTGGTGTTGGATGAGGTGGCGATATCGTCAGATGTGGCGGCGATGAAGCCGGAGATGGCGGCGGCCACCGGCAAGGGTGGATGAGGTCAGAGATTCAGAGGCTACCGGTGCCTATGGTGGCAGCGGCGCTTACGCCACCGCCGCCGATGATGATGGTGGTGGTGACAACGCCTACGGTGGTGGAGGCGGTGAAGGTGGCATCGGAGATGTGCACTCGGAATCGTAGCTTCTTATATCTTCTTTTAGTATTTTAGTTCATATTATTAATAAATATTGGTGTCAACTCATCTCTTTTAAGTCACACGGAGGTAAAGGAACATTGGAAGTCTCATTGTTGCACTCTTAATAAGTTTTAATCCTAGTTAGGGATTATCTCTAAAAATAAAAGTCACTAGCAATAATCAATAAAAATATATCACCATCATGCAATAAATTGTCAAATACATACATAAAAGACATAATATAGTTCAATATAGCTACATTATTATAGTCAATAAATGTCTAAATGCATTTGTAAAATAAACAAAACGTAACACAAATTTCTAGCACAAGAAAACCAGATTGTTGATGATATTAGAAAAGGAATTAATGTTTAACGATTAAAAAAATAAAATTTCATATTTTAATTAACCAATTTATTTGGTTCCATTTAGATTTGAAGGGTAAAACCCAAAGTCGAACTAAACAACTACATTTTGGTTTGGTTTTTTAAATTCAGTTTCGATTTATTATCAATTCAGTTTAATTTAGTTGCGATTTGATTTTTTTATCCAGTTTTCGATTTTTCAGGCACACCCCCACTGATTTCCCCCATCTACATACCCACCCAAGTATGTGGATAGTCTTCATGCTCCCTCGCTACGCTACGCCGTCACACCACGATCGCCTTGTTGTTCTTTCTTCCATCCCAAGCCACCCTAAGCTTGCTTATATAGTGCCTCATAGCCCCCCCCCCCCCCCCCCCCCCCAGGAGACTTCGAACTGCGGTAGCCATGTACACCCCAAAACAAATAAAGGGAAATTCTTGGTGTACACTCTGGGTTACACCTCATTTATTTGTCATTCGCACAGACAAAAATCGTACAAATACAGACACTTTCGTTAAACTGTCGGTGTGAATAAAATAAGTTTTCAGATCTGTCAGGCTGGTTGCACGGAAACCAATGTCGGTGTACACAGACATTAGTTGTCTGTGTAGACAAAAAAGTGGCGGTGTGAAAAAATTGATTTGCAAGTGTCGGTGTACACAGACACTAGTTCTATGTGTAGAAACAAAAGTGTTTGTACATATGCAATTTTCGTCTGTGTACACGGACACTTAGAGATAACCAGTGTCGGTGTGCATAAACGTAAAAAGAAAGAATTAAAGAAGAAGATGATGATGATGATGTTGAACAACAATGATTCAAAGGAATTGTTTCTAAACTTAACTAATAAAACGTAAAAAGAAAAGAAAAAGAGAGAAGGGAAAAGAAGATCACGATGAAGAAGAAGAAGAAAGAAAGAAGAAGAAGATGAAGGTGAATAAAACGTAAAAAGAAAGAACAAGATGATGGAGAGGGGGGGGGGGGTTCGTATGCAGTGGCGGACGTGCTATTGTTCAAGGGTGTTCAGGCGAACACCAACAATTTTGAAAATAAAATATAAAAATACATGTATAGAATTGATATAATAATTTATATAGTGTATTTTTTATACAATGTTTGTTACACTTAACCTCTCTTCCTAGTTTTTTCTGGTTGAAAAAATTACATTCCTTCAATTGTGGTATCAAAAAATATTATTGTTCAATATTTTAACCATAAATTTTTTTTGAACACCCAATTTCCGGTTGCAAGATCCGCCACTGTTCGTATGGTGCAAAAGGGAGAGAAGGTGAGAGAAGAGAGTGGGGAGGGAGGGGAGAGACAAAAGTTGGAAGAGAGGAAATAAAAAATGGGGGTTATATAGGGTATACCTCTGAAATGTCAGACCTAAAGAATTTTTCAAACAAATTCGCATCGCCCTTGTCGTCCACCCAACATTAAAAAAATCGATTCACTCCAGCGTTGCCAACATTGAAGCACCGGTGAAAGAAACTCGTCGAACAATTAGTTGTCACTCTAATGAGGGTTACCAAACCGCCTTTAGTTTCACTTTTGGCCACTGTTGCTTATTTAGAATAAACTTTATTAATAAATTAGGACAATGTTATTATTAAATAAATGATGAAATTGACACCAACAATCCTTACTGTTACACATTTTATGAAAAACATTCATACTTCAAAAAGTTCACAACAACAATCCCAACTAGTTAACTTTTTTAAAAAATAAACCAAGTGCTAACCGTGTTAAGATTTTCATTTTTTTTTTTAAATTGACCTAAAAGTTACAATTTTTAGGCCTCTTTCATTTGAGGTGTTTCCAGGTTGAACTTTTTGATGAAATTTTGTGAGCATGTTCTCCATGAAGTGTAGGTTATGTCCACCAAATTTCATAATAAAATTCAATTAGGAAGTTAGTTAAATAAAGGGAAAATCGCACTTTTAGTCCTTGAAATAGTCACCATATTGAAATGTCGGATCCGTGTTCCTAAGTTTGTAAATGTCACTTCTCAATTCTCCAAATTGTCGTAGATGTGATTCTTTGATGGGTGAAATGTACAATGTGGGCGAGAAGTGCAATTCTCCCCTCAAAGGACCACATTTACAACAATTTAGACAATTTAGGGGTGACATATACGATCTCAGATATACGGGTCTGACATTTCAATATGATGACTATTTCAGAGATTAAAAGTGCGATTTCCCCTTAAATAAATATTGAAAAAAATTGTTTGCTTTAGGCCTAAAAACGGTGCAATTTTCAAAAATTTATTTAACTAACTTACCAATTCAATTTTAATTTAAAATTTGGTGGACATAATTTACACTTCATAGAGAACATGCGCACTAAATTTCAATAAAAATTTCGACCTGAAAGCAGCTCAAATGAAAGAGACATGAAATTGTAACTTTTTGGCTTACCTTTTTCTTATATACCTAGTATATATAAACACGGACAATATTATATTTGAGTTTAATCTTGCTTCTACTAAAAATTTAATTTAATATTCAATGTTTTTCACAAGACATAATAGAAATATTTGAACACTACATAGTGCATACTCTTCAAATTCTATTCTCTTTTATTCCTTATCCATATTTTATTTATATTCATTTTTTATATTCATTGTAATAGAGATTTCAAAGTAGTTTTAGTGACACTACTTAAATATTAATACAAATTGTGTAAAATATTGAAAATTTAATACATATATTTCTACTATATTTTATGAAAAATATTAAATATCAAGTTCAATTTAATGCATAAAAAGATTAAATTCAAATATAATATTATTGTTTTGTATACATATTTTTGCGTTGATATATTCAAAATAGGAAAAAAATAACACAAAAGTTTACACCATTAGCACTTGGGTTATTTTCACGAACCAGTTAAGTAGTAGGAATTATTTTAGTGAAATTTAAAAGCATGGATTATTTTTGTAAAATTTGTAAAAGTAGGGAGGATTTATTGGTGTCAATTTCGCGTAAAAAATAAGTTGTCATTTTCAATAAAAATTAATCAATTCAGACGAACTAATATTACATCTTTGTAAGTTTTATTATTACAATGTAGTGTTTGAAATCAAAATTTCGAGGTTGACAAAGAGTGATTATAAAATAAAATATAGATTACCAAACGAGGCATCTATCGGTCTTAATTGTCTTGATATATTGAAAGTTGAAACAAGCCAAAACATCATACGAATAAAAACAGGGGGATTAACCAGGAAATAAATTCTTAATAGCAGAAATAGGAGAACATTTCAAAATTTTCCCAAATAAGAGTTACTCCTATTATTTGTAGTTTGACATAAATATCCTTGAAGTCTAGTAAAGCCTACTACCCGCCAACAGAACGCCGGACCGAGGCCGGTTGTCGGCCACTGGTCACAGAACCGGTTGCCGCTGCAAATTTGGCCGCCACCAACGCAAACCCGACCGTCATCATTGCAGAGTTGGCCTCTCCCGCCGTAGATTTGGCCATATTCCATCCCACCACTACAAATCCAGCATCCACCGCTACTGACCAATTCTGTTGTTGATGTTAACATTTTTATCATAATGCCAACATGATTAAAAAATGTCATCTTAATGACATATCTTAATATTGCCACCTTCATGGTATTTTTAAACGAAATTTAACATTCTTTTTAAATCAAAGAAGATGAAGAAGTTGTCATCCTAGAATGCATATGAGGACTAAGAAATTTATAGAATATATGTATTCATTAATACATTATTAGCAGGACTAAGAAATTTATAGAAATAAAACCTATTCGATAATACCAAAATTGGCATAATCAGCTAATTCTACTTAAATTGATGAAGTTTTGATCGAAGTGATTGAATTGGCTTAATTGTGAAAAACTATATTTAAGATATAGTGTATTATTAAAATAAAGAAAAATTAAATGAAAATAAGCTACTCCCTCCGTCCCATTAAATTCTTCCAACTTTCCTTTTTGAGATGTCTCATAAAATTCTTCCAACTTACCTTTTTTGAAAATTTATGTGTCTCGTATTCATTTCTTTTTTTCTTACACAACTAAAACCATACATTTTCACTTTATTCCCAGTTTTTTAATTTACGAAGGGAGTCATTAATTCGTCACTTCAAGGTTATGCCTACTAGTTTTTGGAAAGAGAAATTACTTCAAATAGTAGTAAAATTATGACAAATATCCAAAATATGACTTGTTATGTTTTTATTCCAATATAGGACTATATTACTCCTATTAGAAACATATATATTTTTTCATTTCATTCTTACTGCTCCTTTACATGTGAGTAAAAGATAGTCAAAAGTCATAATTAAATATTTAATTCATAATAAATTTTAAAAACTTTAAAAAAATTAGAAAAATGATAAAAAAGATAACAAAATATTAATAAACTAAAAAAAATTACTAAAAATATTAATAAAAAATAGTAAAACTTCATAAAAAAGTTAAAAAAATATGGATGTTTTTCCCACTGCCTGTATTGCCTCCCTGCACCACCACCTCCGACCGGTGTAAAAAATGTCATTTTTTCTAAAAATTGAAATTTTTCTTCTGGAAATGCCAAAAAAACATATTATTCTTTGAGAATGTCAAAAATTTCATTGAATCTGACATAAATATGGCATTCATAATGGATGTGGCATTTTCCCCCTGGTGACTGGAGGTGGTGGTGCTGAGGCGGAAGAGGCGACGGTGACGCTGATGAGCATCAGTGTTCTCTGCTCCCTATTTTCCGATTCACTTATGTTTTATTAGTTTTCAATATGTGAATCTAATGTAGTAGGACGTTTGAAATGTGCAACATTTTAAAATGAGCATAAAGTGGTATCAAATGAGTATTTATAACTTAGAAAATGAGTATAAAAAAATTCAAAATCTCAATTGTGTATGCTCATTTATTTTGAACGTTGTACTCATTTGATCTTAACATAAAACTCATTTGATCTTAACATTCATTTGTATATGTTCATTGCTTTTAGGCGTATACTCATTAAAGTTTAATGTAGAACTCATTTGAGATTAACAGCAACAAGGATTCCTCACCAACGAAGTAGACTTCCCTTGTCTCCTAAAATCACATGCTCAACCAGTGAAACTACACCGTCAACTGCGCCGGAAAGAAATACAGATGGAAAAGAAGTGAGTAGGTAAGTTGGATGGAGAAGGGTTGACTACGAGCTGCTGGTTTGAAATCAGGTCGAAGAAGCCTAACGAGATTGAATAAGCGAGATGCGAAGTCATGTGCGAAATCCGGCCGAAAACGTCTGCGACTTCCTGTGCAAAGGTCTGGTGCTAAGCTTCTGCTATGGCGAGAAGCGCACGGTACAGTCGGCTCTGCAATGTAATTTACCATTTTAAGTAGGATGGCCTTGTTTAATATACTTCGTATTAATCTCACTTGCAATAAAAAACAGTCATTAGTTGTTTACCAGTAATTGGATTTTAAGTAGTCTCCTTCCCTCAAGAATGACAACATTAATTTAGCTAAGATCTTCTTCTTCACTCGACTGGATTCGACTCTGGTTGATCAGCAGCACAAGAGCAACAAAAACAGGAGCAGTTATGATGGAGATTGCCTCTGCTAAATTGGGTTTTGTCATCTGCGGAATCATTATGCTTCCATACTTGATGGCCGCCGCTCCAGCCGCCGACCAGACCCCCAATTTCACCAAATACTCCAAATCCTCCTGCTTCGGTCATTGTACCATTAAACTATTTGCTCAACCCTCAAATTCAGGCAATATAGAAAGATTGTACACAAAGATTAAAACCTGCAGGGAGACAAAGGAAGGGTTTCGGCCACCCGATTTGGGATCCGGAGCTTCTCTTTTTGGATCTGATGCTCGCGCTATGCCGAACGACGTCGCTCTCGAGGCGTAAGGGATCGCGGGAAGTGAAAGTCGGTTCGGAGTGGTGGTTGGCGACACTATCCTCGGGTGGTTTGTGAGCGCGGATGGTGGTGGTGGGGCCACCGCCATAGCCATAGCCATACCCAAACTACAGTATTTACCTCCTCACAACAAGTGAAAAAGATGAGGCCGGCGAAGCTGTCTAACCCAAGGGTGATACAATAATACCTAGCCGGCAAGAGGAATTGGAGAGTCCCCGCATTCAATATACAGTACAATTTAGATGAATTTTGAAGAAATGATTAAAAATGAAGTGTTTCTAGGGGTGAGCTTGTCCAATATTTTTTCGAATTCGTATCCAATATTTAAACGGTTCAGTTCGGTTCGGTCTTAGAATTAAACTCGTTCGGGTCCAATATACCTTTATCCATACGCGATGACAACTTGCTGAGCTTGTCGCACGGTCCATGCATCATCAACTCTTTGACAATATTCTAATGAGAATGGTACGAATTATCATTTAGAATCTCACCAAATATGATTTTGTCAATATCCAAGACATTTAATGCCTTTTCATAGACAGTCACAAAACAATGTGGACATGCGGCAACTTATGTTGTTTTGGATCTTTAATGAGCAAATCTAACTTGATCCTAAAGACCCTACAAAGGATGTCATGGCGATCGTCTGGATTGAGCCATATGTTCCCAACGAAACAGATAATCTCTAGCCACTTCGGATTGCAAATGAATCTGATGAAAAGTTGTGAATACTTTCGCCATCGACATATAGCCATAGTGTCTTGGTAATTTTGCATCAGGGCCGACCCAGGTCAAGTGCCAGCTGTGCAACCGCACAGAGCCCGGAAATTCTGAAGGCCCAAAATTTTTATAGTCCTCCTATTATTATATAATAATAATTAGAGCCTAATGAGTAAAATTCCACAACTTCATTAAAAAAAATTATGCCAGGGGGATTCAAACCCTGACAACCTTCTCACACATGCTGACATCGAACCAACTTAACCAAATGGTTGATGTTAACAATCCTTCAATTTGTGTTTTTGTATCATACAATAATTGATATAACTCATAAGATTTTAAGCCCAAAACAGCTACACACACATCCATATGTAGTGAATAACTATTATGTTAGTGAATAACTTGTATTTTTATACTTCCAAACAAAACTTGTATTTTGATAAAAAAATATTATTGTAGCAAATTTTTACATATATTACCTCCGTCCCAATGGACTTTGCATTCCTTAAGTTAGGTGGGAAATAAGAATAGTAAAAATTGTGTGATTGAAGTTTGTGCAGAGGAGAGAAAAATGAGTAGAACCACAAAATAGTTACTTTAATGGGAAAGTGGCAAAGTTTTTTAGGACAACCAAAAAAGGAAAGATGACAAAGTCCAATGGGACGGAGGGAGTATAAATTTCACTTATATTATGTTTCTACCTATTTTAGAAAAGACCACATTTTATTTTTGCACAGGGCCCGTGTTTTCTCAGGACCGACCCTGTTTTGCATCATGTGACATGCTCTACCAATCAATGTAGGAGGAAGAACAATAAATTAGGCCGTCATAGATGCACGTGTTTCACCTCAAACAACTGCATCTGCTAAATCACTGTACAAATCACTTCACATATCTTTATGATGATGTCTTATGTATTGTAATCGATATGACTCTATCATTGTATACCCATCGATCACAAATTGTTGAAACAGTCTTCGCGGTCCGATCTAAATTGATATGGGGTTTCACTTTTGCGTCTCTACAACATGTAAAAAAATATTTCGTTGTAGTAAATTTTCTCCTTTTAGGTATTATAAAGCCATCTTGACCGTAATGAAGGGTTCAGTGGTGGGTATTGCAACCTTAAAACGGCGGTAGCCGCGGAATCTTCTACTAGATCATGGACAACCGTGTGGACCGATTGACTTACAAGCCTTGATCGGTATAAGGACTGATGTTATCGCATTGAGTGTGTTATTGGAGAAAAAGATCAATATATTGCTTATGTAACTTACCCTTTAGACCTTTTTGAAGGAGGTTCTGTTACGAACATGTTTACTTCGATTGTAGGTAATGTATTTGGGTTTCTAGCACTCCGCGCTTTACGTCTCGAAGAAGGGTTCAGTTCAGTCATAAACTGAAACTCCTCAAATTTTGTTAGACAGACAACATCCCTTTCTTTTCTATTTACATCAAACTCCTCCTCAAATAAAGCTACTGCTTTTGAAATGCTTGGAGTATTATAGGTGCTCCCCCAAACTCTGTTTCCCAATAAGTTTCATTTTCAATGTCGTGGAGTTTGATGCATTGAAGTTATCTCTTGTCATTCTAAGTGACTCTGCATGAACATTGCCATTGTAGATTTGTTAGGGCCATGCAATTTTGCACCACCCACACTCCTGTATTTTGTTGTACAAAGTAGTCATTATGATTTGACGTTAACATTAAATATAAGTTTAATCATATAAAACCTGGTATAATAATAAGAATTGTTAAATTTATGGAACCAACTTTTTATTTATTTGTAAAGTTTTCTGAAAATTTTAAATTACCAACACTGTTTCGAAATGGAAAAAAATAATTATTTAATATATTTGTCTCGCAACTTTAATTCGATGTGAGATTTCTTCACTCAGACTAGATAAGTACATCTGCAAAAATCTTGGTTGGTTGTCGTCCCTTGGAAGGAGACTATCAATTTTATGGTAGTTTTGTTCGTTTATTAAAAATATTGATGGCGTATTTCCTCGATTCATCTCTTTGTCAATTTTTCCTCTCAAATAAGTGAATGCAAATATTGCATTATAAACGAATGTTTCCGAGAACATAGCAGATTGGCAGCTTTAACCCAACTATCTCACTTTTTAAAAGTTCAACTGTCTCTTTCATTGCACGTAACACAACATTTCCATGATTACAACACAAAGAGAATCTTGATCATCTATATATACATAAAAGCACAACAAAAAAACTGTTCATTGAATAGTAAAAACATTGTTTATTGAACAGTAAAAATGATGTTCATTGAAGAGTAATCCGCCCAATGTTTTTACGCATCTGCACCGTCCATTAAAAAATATCTTGCACCGTCCATCTTTTCTTCACCCCCTTCTAGAGATCAATCACAGGGCCGCATCTTTCATCTCCTTCCATTTTACGTCAATTCCAAGCAGAAGACGGTCGCATCAGTTCCAGGCAAAAGACGAACATTGCTCATATATCTCTTTCATCTCCTTCCATTTTACGTCAATTCCAAGCAGAAGATGGCCGCATCACTTCCAGGTAAAAGATGGGCAGAGCTCATATATCTCTTCCATGCCTCCATGGTAATCAATTTGTCTTCTCCGTCCCAAGGTTTGATATGTACTTTCCTAATTCACCCTCACATTTCAAAACCCTAGAATTGAACAAAGTTCTTGAGCTGAACATTTTCTATAGTTCAAATCACATCAAAGATATGTGAAGTCTAACTACCTAAGGTGGTAAGGGTATCATTTCTCTCCTTATTCTTTTATACGGAGTAATTTTTAGCTTTGAAAATGAAATTCACCATCTTTTAGTTTTTCAGGTATACCGTGTTTGATATTGAGCCTTCAAGTGGCATATTCTATAGTTTATATATAGCTTTGAAAACAGAGTTTCAAAGATATGTGAAAGGTAATGCTGTAATGGGTATCATTTCTCTCCTTATTCTTATATATTTTTTAGCTTTGAAATCCACCATCTTTTAGCTTTTTAGTTATACCATGTTTCATATTGAGCCTTCAAACTAGCACTTTTAGCTTTGGTCCTTATTATTAGAAGCATTCATGGGTGAACAGGTTACAATTTATATTTATTGTATAGGACCTTTGTTATTCAGAAAATGGTCATATTTTTAGAGGCTTTTTTATTTTTCCTAATCAGTATTATGTAATTCTTCATTTTATTGTTTCAATCACTGCTAAATGGATTTAACAATTGTTTTAGATTAGTTAGAGCTTGAAGCCCTGATAGTTTCCCGTCTATGGTTGCTGCAGGAAATAGAGAGTATTTTACTGATTCACATTATATGATTGCTACTTCAATTTTAATTTCCAACTACAAGGACCATCATTTAGATTTTTTGTATGAATATGATCTTGAATTTGTATACCAGTGACGCAAGAGAATGAACCTACAAGGTAGTATGTGAGAAGATCCAAATATCATGCCACTTTGAAAAAGTTTTTAACATTCTTTATATGATAGAGGTTAACTCACTCAAATTGACCTTTCTTACATGTTCAGTTCATCCTATCTATGTTTTTGGACCAGGGGATAAAAGATTTTGCCAATGATTGTGAAGATGGCAGAGTCGTGTGGTGAACACAGAGATGTAAACACTGTCACACAAACTTGAACATCAACCCACCACCATGTTGAGATGTAATACAATTTGATATACACATATATGTAATATAAAGTTTATGACAGGGGTATACAATTTTCTTATATATACATATAAATTGTGAATTCATTCTTAATAGAAGTATATTAATGTAATAGGATTTTTAATATAAAGATTCACAAATAATCTGGATCTTTTTGCATCTAACAGTCCTCTATGTACGTCTTGAATTTGTCAAGCTTATTTTGTGCTAGTGGATGAGCATAGTGTCGTATGGTAAATGTCGGTTTTCTGTTTTTCTATGCAGGTGAGTAATGGAAATTTTTGCATATCAGTGACGCAAGAGGATGAACCTGCAAGGTAGTATGTGAGAAGATCCAAATATCATGCCACTTTGAGAAAGTTTTTAACATTCTTTATATGATAGAGGTTAGCTCACTCAAATTGACCTTTCTTACATGTTCACTTCATCCTAGCTATGTTTTTGGACCAGGGATAAAAAGATTTTGCCAATGATTGTGAAGATGGCAGAGTCGTGTTAGGCTAAGGTTTGGACGCCACTCTTCTATTTCTTTTATAATCAATCCATGCTTAATTTCTCTAATGAAAAACCTCTTTCTTATCTTTGGACTTATCCATGTAGTTGGTTAAATCCTGAACGCTACATGCTATTCATTTTGTTCATTAAATCTATTAGAATACGTAATAGAAGTTCTCATTTAAGTTTATTAGAGGGAATGGCAATAATGTCTTGGACTTCACCTACGTGGAGAATCTATCCCCTGCCCATTTTCTTTTTTTATGGTTGTAGGTAATCATCTTTGTGTATTCCATCTACATAACTGATAACCCTCTTAGTCACTTTCTGTGATTTTATTTTGTATTTCTATGTAGTTTGGAAGAGCGAAAGGCAACCGTACATTCTTTTATCCATTTGCA